ATGAGTCAATGATGCCAGCATACTACTCTCAGGGCCGCTCAAAGATCCTCCGTGTTTTTAATCACCACCAACTCTAACATCTAATTAATCATTAACATTTCTCCTGCTGATCCGCGGCCCTCTGGGGGCACCTTGCAGAACATCCCTCTCTCACATTATCTTCGTTTGTGTTTGCGTGCGTGTGCAGCGAGTGTGTGTTTCATTTCTGAGGCAGGTGGATTGGGTGGTTGTTAGGACAGCGGTGACTGTAGGTGAGGCTATTAGTATGCTGAAAAACATCTCCTGCTCTGCAGCAATTCTGACCAACAGCACATGCTAACGTCAGGATTGTGTTGTCGCCAGTGATAGACAGGACTGGATTGCATGAAGCGACATAAACAGAGGAAGGAATGGGATATTTCATCTGCTAACTTAAATCCACCTATTTGTAAAATCTTTATGAAGCTTCACTTCTCAGCACAGCTGTCCAACTGCAGTCCCAAAGCAGTTTACAAGGGTTATGCTTCTTTCTTTCCAGGTTGAGTGGAAACATCTCAAGGTTTGGTGACTGCTCACAACATTTTCAGTTGTTGTTGCTGTTCCAAAACTAATCAAAAGGTGGAGCGAGCAAGACAAAAAAAAAAAAACCCTGTAAAATTTCTGTTATTGAAAACTCGTCTTATGTTTCAATGAAGTAGACACGTGCATGCATTCAAGCAAATAAAAACCCAGGATCCACATTCTATGCATATAAATATATTTGAAGTCGAACTTCCAGTTGAGTAAGAGTGCCACATATTTTTGGGTAATCATCAAACATGATTTAAGCCACATTACTGCATCATATATATCCTATTTTATTAACATGGCAGTTTTGTTACACTGAACTCGTGGAAATCTGGAAGCCTGATCACAAATACCTTCCAACAAAAAGAAAGTTTGAATGAGGTCTGATACAGTGAGTTTCCTCAGAGTATAAAAAACCTGAATACCTCAGCCAGGACTACAAGAAAGAGATTATAACAAAGCCAAAGAAAGAAGCATTTGATAAACAAGATTTTTATTAGTTATTTAAATGTAGATGTTTTCAAAATTTAAGATGATTCTTTAACAAAACATCTGTAGAAATATTAATAAGGACTGCAAAGTTTCTAAAAGCTTTGCACAAATATAAAGTCTTAAAGAGGTTAAATGCATTTTTCCATTTGATAAATTATGCCAATAAATATAACCTCCTGACAGATTAGCATGCTTTTAAAATTGGATCACTGAGCGCTTTTATATTCTTGAATGTACTTTAGCTTTTTTTTTTCCTACTTGAATAATTTTCTTTGCTGGTACATTCCCCCTGGTGTCACACAATTAAGCAAAACCAATTAAGGCATTGCAGTAGGTAGGCTGCATTCACTGAGGAAGTATTCGGATGTTAGATGTGGGTGGACATCAACTGGAATCAGTGCTTAAATGTTAATGGATTTGGTTTCTTATAAAATAAATAAATAAAAAATCCTGACTGTAAAATGCCAGCATGTAAAAAGAACCTGCAAGTGAAGCTACTTTTTTTTGTTTCTTGAGATGAGCTCTCCCTTTTTGAACTTAGTGTTCATATTATACTCGCTGCGTGAATTAAATATTGCAGGATTTTAAACGGACACGTGAAGCCTTTTCACTTGAACACAGTCAAGAATGAACACAATGAATTATTGAACCTCTTGTGAGCTATAAATGAAATGAATGCTTGAAAAACCTTGACTTTTTGAAACCAGGAGTGCTTGAGCTGAGCTGGCGTATTCGTGGAATGTGACCTGCACCTTTAAAGCTAAAAAAAAGAGAGAAAAAATTGGATGTAAATGTGCTTCTAACTGAAAAATACGCCATAGTTTGGCAGTGGTAAGACAGTAGCATCTGTTGAAAATAGAGGGATAGGGGATTACCTCAAGTCATCTAAATATATTTAAAAATGTTTCTCCACTTCTTTCATCCCCAGCCCTTTGTTTCCATCCTCCATCCCCTCATTTCCTGTTGCTCCCATAACTCTGCTCGTCGACACCCTCTCTCAATTTGTTTCCTCCCTTCTTTCTCCTCTTCTCTTCCCCCTGTTCAGTGTGCAGAGGACAGGCGTACACTTCACTGCCAGCAGTGATTCATACCGCTTAGGCAAATGAGTGTGGCTTACAGCATGTTGCTCCTTTTTCTGCTTCATCAGTACACATTGTGCATAACGCTGGAGCAGGTTGGAGCCTGTAGGCAGACATACAACCACTGAAATTGATCTAAGAGACATGCTGGAGGGGTTCCTCCGCAACACAATGGGCTGATGTGACTCATTTGTGTGTTTTGGATGTAGTGCGGTGTGTAAATGGGGGTGCCGGTTTTGTAGTTTGTCCTCAATAGATACTCGTGTTTTCCACCACGACTAAATTTGCAAGCTAAGGTCACTCATTGACTGTCTAGCTAATCACTAGAGCACTAGAGGTGAGGAAAAATTGGATTTACTATAAAGCATAGTAATCCTAAATCCTTCTGTTGGTGAAAGATTGGGGATGTTTAAGAATTTAGATGAAGAAATATATTCATTAGCTTGGTACAGTGAGACTGGATGGCACAACAGCTATGGCACATGGGAAACCTCGACGTTAATCGTATTCAAGGACTTTGGTATCACTTTAACATGAGACCTCCCTCTTTTAACAAGCTAATCTCTAAACCATTTTAAGACCCACTTGAGAGAGGAACCTAGTCAAAACAACATGACTGAAAGAAAGTTGTGAAAATATTTAATATTTACTGATGAGGAAATAAGTTGTTTTGCCCAATTTTGCCAGCAATTCCATCTGAATCAGTCTAATTGTTGCCAGGAATTAGACTGCATCACACCATCTGCAGAGGGCTTCAGTATCCCAAGAAGAGCTGTGGCTTTATGAAGTGCCAAAGTTTGCATAATCACGTTCCCCTATCAGTCCTTAGTACATCAGTGTATGGATGCATGCATACATTGCATAGGGAGTGAAGTACGATCACGTAAATGATTGCATAAGCCTGGATACATGCAGTATGTGAAAGTACAGCTGTGGTGTTTGTATGCACATGCAAACATTATGAAACAATGAAAAAACTGAAAACACATAAACTAGGCTAAGCTAGAATGAAATAAGTGAAATTATTACTAAATAGAAGATGTGTGGTTAAGTTCCTTTTACACATTTTTGAACATTCAAAATGTTTTTTTAAATTTATTTCACGTCTAAATTGACAACAAATTAACTTTTTTGTCCATGTGAGATGCCCCGATTCCTCAAATTCAAATGACCAATTGTTAATGGACAGTTAGAATATCATCATAAAAATGTGACGATATTTATTTAAAAATAATAATCTAGATATGAAGCTGCATACGTTTTCTTTTTAGATAACCCTGATCATCTCTAAAGGGTAAAACAAATGACTTAATTCTTTAGTGCTTTGGGTGTAACAGGTTAGGGGACATCTTTCTATGACACACAACTAAACACTTAGTTTTTGACTTGCACTAAAACTAAGAAGGCAATAGCTCAGTGGGCTTGAGCAGACCTGAAGATTTTATGGCCCATTGGTCACATTTTATATCCTTTAATGACTAGCAGGAAATTTTTTAATCCAACAGGGACAAAGATGTACTTTGAATTATTGCTTTTATTAAAAGTTATTTAAAAAGTTGCTTTAAAAAGTTATTTTTAAAGCCGGAAGTTACATAAGGATAAGCAACCTGGTACAATCTTTCAACTGAGCGGCACAGAGCATGATCTGTACCAGTAAACAAAGAATAAAGTGAGAAATAAAGAAAGACGTGTCAGTTTATAGCTAAAGAAGAGAGAATGACACGAAATGGAAGTTTGCATCAAGATTAGGACCCATGTACTTTTTTTTTTTTTTTTTTTTTTTTTTTTTTTATTTTTTTTTTTTTACTGAAGTCAAAGTGCTGTGCTCAGTTTTGTAAAGATTAAATATTTGTGTTAAATAAAAGCAAAGTTTCAGTGTAGGGGGAAACCTCTTATTGATCAAATGCAAAGCCTACTGTTATCAGAAGAATAAAAGAGATTTAAAGATTATATATCCATGGAAAAATTGTGTTCATCCTAAAATCTGGTTTTGTGATCAGTTACAGATGCCTCTGTGCGACTTTGGAAAAAAAAAAACATCTTCCCACTTCTGATGTTAAAGGTGTTCACCACAGATATGAGAGTTGACTTTATTTTTAGGTTACAATTGTTAGAGAAAGCTCTTCACTTTTACAAAATAATTACAGCGAATTCAGTATTGCTGTCTGCCACCAACATTGTTCAGTTCTAAGAGTTTGGGTCTTTGGGTGTTTGCCATCATGTTTCTTTATAGAAATAAAAGACAATTCAAAGCCTGATTAAAACAAACAAACAAAAAAAAACTTCAACACCCTGGGAATTAGGTTTGGACAATACATTTTTCCGACAGCATTGTTGTGTGTCTAATGTGAAGAAACTTTGTGAGCACATTATCTCAGAATCTCTTTCTAATGTTCATTTTGTAGACGTTTTGCACAAAGGGAAAATTATGCAATTTTTTTCAGAGTCACATCGGCGTCCGATGCTTTCTGTACATCTGTGTGACACAGCAAAGAACTTTTAACATAAACCCAATAGTGGGATGTTTTTTCAGAAAATGTTTATATTCTTAAGTGCAGAATTTGTGTAGATAGAGTAGAGAAACTGTAACATGTCTGATTTTGCTGATAGATGTTTTGCTTTTTTTTCCCAACGATGCTACGCACATAAAGTAAAAATAATTTCTGATTGTATCAAACAAAGCTTTTTACGATTTTTTTTTTTACTGTGTAATCACAGCATGTTAAAAAATATCACATAAATCTAAAAATAAACCCCCCAAAAAAACAACCTAACATGTAGGTCCGAACAACAAGAGGATGGCAATTCCATACTGAGAGGTTAATTGAGTGTGTGTGATGGAGTCACATAGTTAGGATGAAAGAGGCGCTGCCCCATGGATACCTGTGACCTGGTCGACAAGGATACGGGACGTGATGATGCGGCCGTACTGGGAAAAAAGCTGCTCCAGCTCCTTCTGGGTCATGGTCTTGGGCAGGCCGCTCACATACAGGTTAGCGTCACGGATGGAGGCTGAGCTGGGCCGTGCATACGACACCTGGAGAGGAACACAAACACAGACTATAATACAGGTTTTTAACGAGTGCTCAATATCTTAAAGCCAAAGTTTTAAGTGTACTGTGATTGGAAACGGATGTGGATCATTAGATCCACAGGGAGGAAAATGAGACTTTATTTTCCTCCCTTGCCTTGGGGATTATCATTGTTAGGAAAAGATTTAGCTGCTTTGAACCCCAGAGAGGAAACACTTCATGCCTCAGTCAGTTGTTTGCAGGGGAAGGTATAGGAAACTTAGCCCTGAAGAAAAAAAACACAGGTGGCTCTACTTTGAAAAGACATCTGAGGATAACAACAAATAACTCACTTTACTATTTATTTTCGGCATTATTCTGAATGAAAACATATCTGAATGCAAAAGAAAAACATTGATTTCTTAGGCTGTTATGTATCCTGGTTTATTAAACAAAGTCATTATTGGACCAATGCTTCAAACAAATTGTATTCATTTTTTTTCTGGTTGTGATACATCATGAATCCTGTTATAACTGCTGCTGACTGAAGCAGCTTTGCCTTCTAGTGCTTTCATTACCCTGACGAGCAGAGACACAAGTCATCAAATAAGGTGAAAATCAGACAAATATAGTGGATATGCAGTCATATCCTTGAGCAACAGCATGGAAATCCTGCTTGTGAGAAAATAGGATTGGGAACAGCTGGCTTTCCCCAAGTCTCGCTTCTTTTTCACACATTTCCCTCTTCAGCCTATCTGCTCAGCTCCTCTGTCTTCTCCTTCCTCCCCTGCAGCTCTCTCCCTTTTTCCTGCCTGGTTATTTTCCATCGGCTTCCTTCCTGCGTGCTGCCTCACTAAACCTTTCCAGAACGCGTCTCTTTTTATCCCCCCCACCCTCACTCTTTTTTTTTCTTTTGGTTTTCCCTCTTTTCTTCACTGTACAGCTCTCCCTCATTTTCTCTCCTTGTCAGCCAACTCCAGATGTCTAATCCATCAACACCTCCTCAAGCTGTGAGCAGCATTGTGCCGTGCGATGCATGTGTGAAACAGGAGTGTACGTGCGCTGCTTGTGTGCAGGAAAAAGTTTGAAAAACTAAGTGTGAAGATTAAAGTAATCACAAAGCAATCACAGGCGCGCGCTGGATAAACGTGTGTCAGAGAGTGTGCACACGTGTCACTGTGAGCTCCTTGCACCTTCAGTGCGCAGTTTCCCCTCACACCTCGGCGGGAAAGCAGCACCGCTGACAAAAAAACGGAGGTGTCACGACGGAGGAAGCTGCATAAGTGAAACCCAGTCAAAGGCACATTGCCTGGGAGAAAGTGACTCTCCGGACTGAGCACACTGGCAGCGAGTGGGAAGGGTGTGACATGAAGAATGACAAACATAATTTTAGAATTACTGCACTGCCTCTTAATTAACCTTGCTGCCTTTAGGGGGAAGGGGGGTTGAGTCTGTTGTGGGAAGAGACGGCAAGGAAAGAGGGGAGTGGGAGGAAGGAAATTAAGTGTGAAAGAGTGATAGTGTCAGATGGAGATGTAGTGTTGTCTTCTGTCATGACAAAGAACCTCCTTTATCTCAGGAACAACTTGAGGCAGTGTCTTGCGTCACCGAGAGTGTAAAAGAAAAATCTGTTAACGCAGACTGTAGCACTATGCAAACAGCCTTAAACTTCCATTTTTATCCACTGAAAACACACGTTTTCACTTACTTCTCCATGTTGACTGCTTCACATCGTATCCCCCCACTTGTATGTGCTGACCACTTGATGGCAATTACCTGCCTCTGCTTTTAAAGGGCTTCTGAACTAAAATAAGTATGAGGGCCTGTGCTGAGACAGAGTCCAATATCAGGATTTTATGTTTCTCACAGAAAAAAACAAGAATTTTTAGAGATTCAGATTTTGCTCTGCTGTTTTTCATTTTATTCTGAATATGTTATGACATGAGGTACCCATGAATTTGTTAAAATATATATTTCTATAAAGGTTGTACTGTAGCCAGAAAATAATTAGTGATAAAGATATATTGCAAACAAAAGGTTTGCAACAGTCACATGGTTTTGTGAAGAATGAATGTCTCCATTTATTGACAGATGGTCAAAATGAGGAATGAATGAACGAACAAATTGACTGATGGATGAATAAATTTAATTTTCAGGCAATTGAACAGAGATTGAACATCTAAATGCGTAATTTATTTTTCATATTCTTTTCTCGCATTCAACCAAACCTGAAAAATGCTTTTGTCAGACTCAATACTTCTATGTACTTTTCCAGACTGGCCAAAGAAAATTTCACTAAATCTATTTGAAAACACTTACAGTAAGAGGCAGATTAAGTTTGTGTCATTTGTTAATATTACTCTGTGGCTCCTGAAACAACCTCAACTAAGTGCCTTTAATCTTAGCTCAGATTTGGTTATATTGCATGTTTCACAGAATTCCTAACATCCATCACAAACATATTGACTCATTACGAGTTTCGCAAATGACAAACAGCGATGTAAAACGCCAGAATCCTTTACTGAACAAAGCCCAAGTTAGGCTGTTTATACTATCAAGGGAATGAAGCGAATCTCTGTGGGATTTTCCACATGCGAACAAGATAATTCCATCCTATTAGATTACATTAGACTGGACTAGACCAGATTAAATAGGATGACAGAAAGCGAGAATCCAGGGATTGCAGAAGAGCAACAGATTACGGGTCCTCTTAAATGCAACACATCAGCGGGCGCTGCTCACACGGGGATATGAGATGGGAAAATTAGATCAGCCTCATGTTGTGACAGCAGCTGTGGAAGAAGTGCATTCAGGTCTTTATTTTTTTTGGCATTAAAATGTATTTGAATGCAGGACTGTGCTGTTTTGTTTTAGACCCATCCATTTTACCTCGGTGACAACCAAAACGCCAGGCCAATTATCCTGAAAAACATTCGGTGATAAAACAGGTTTGGAGTGAAATGGATGTTTCATACGTTTCTTCTATTTCACTCAATGATATCTGTATAATTTCACCTTTACAGATTGACATTTAGGAAGGTAATTAGCACATCAACCACAGTCACAAGCTATTTAAAAGGTGTCACTTTGATTTAGATGGTCTTTTTATTTCTCTTGGCTAAAGCACATTAATCCAATCTCGCCTGGCAGCACATTCTATTCCAGCATATCGGAAAGGCCTCTCAGACAGAAGAAAAAAAAAAAAGCATTGCAATTTAGCATGACCTCCATAACTTTGTGAAACGCATGCTAAATAAGTTGACTTCTTTTCGTCTCGTGACTTGTTGTGTCATATGTATATAAATGAAGACGGTGTTAATTACCTTGATTGTTTTCGTTTGAAGTCTGAGTCCATTTAATGTGTTGATGGCTTTCTCTGCATCCTTTGGGTCGATGTAGTTGACGAAGCCGTAGCCAAGACTCTGCCCTAAAATTACAAAGAAAAAGATGGAAAGCAACGTTTTATTGTGTTTAATGTCATTTTTTTGTTGTTTCTCTGACATTGAATTTAAAATGGTGAGTTCAGTTCAATTTATTTTGATTAATTGTCAACATTACAGGACAAAAAAAACAACAACAAACAACTAAAAAAGACAATAAACAAACCAATAATTTACCAAAAAATTAATAGGCAGAAGCAAAAGCCCTTACTTATTTACCCTGTTCGTTAACTTAGCAGCCTATCATAATAAACAGTATCTTCACACAAACACTCATGTATAAATGTGTACACACATACACCTTTTACAAACATGATTACACAATACATATATACATCTACATAACAGTTTAAGATTTTATTTGAAATTTTAACACTTTTAACCTAAATAATTTCTGAATACTATACTTCTGTTCAGTGCTTTATACATTATTTCCAATATTTAAATGGTGCCTCATCATCTTAACTGAGACCTCTGTTATTGCTTCTTCATTTCCTGTGAACCAATAATCTGAAGAAGGAGCTAAGATTATTGCCTTTGCAAAATTATTTTTGGGACATTTGTAATTTAAATGACTAATTCTCAAAGGTAGAAATATTTGAACTCTTTGTATTACACTCATAAGTTTCAGTTTTCTGTATTTGGTGACACTATTTGTAAAATATAATGGCTCACTTTGAGTTATAATATCAACCTGAGTTGTGTGATGAAAGATTTACAGTATTCTGTTAACGTTATTGCCAAAAAAAAAAAAAAAAAAAAAAGTCAAATCCCGCACCTCTTCTCCTCTGGAGTAAGTGTGTTTTAAACGGCGGACTCCCTCTGAGAGCCAGGCAGGCCTGACATCTCTCAGTGTTTCCCCTGTGGATCAAGCCTTTCAACAGGCTTAGGACTTTTAAAAGCGGACGCCTCCAGCCATCAGAGGCTTTCCTCTGCCGATTTTCAGCAAACACTCCCCCTCCTCCCATTCACTAATGCCACACACAAGCTCCAAGATTCCCAGGCAGTTCAAGCAGAGCAGCATGTGCATATTCATTGCTAATGGGAACAGACAGCGGTTAGTCAGAGACAAAGTGAATCACAAAACATGGAGCATGGCTCTTTCACAAAATAAATACTTTTGGGCTATGGATATCACAGCGCAGAACAGCTCAGTAGAGAGCAGGGGAAGAGCCAGAAGGGACTTGTAGTCCTAACATCAAACAGCTGATGATTTTTCTCTTCTTCTCCTCCTCTCCCCGTCTTCTCTGCTGGATTAACGGTGGATTATCAGACACTCTATTGTTAATTAAAAACCTGCCATCCTGGAGAGACCACTGCTATTTATACCGAGCCGTTCTTCGTTCACTCTTCCTCTTGGACTCTCGGCTCACTTCAGGTGTTGAGTTTGGCAGTTTAAATATAAGTCTGAGAGAGCCATCCTTTCAGCTTCAGGTTTTTATTAAAACATGCACACAGGAGCTGGGAAAGGACAAAGCAAGGGAGAAGAAAGAAATAGCTTGCATAAGAATGGATCATTTAAGAATAACTGTTGAGAAGTTGTGGATTAATGTATGAATTTAGAGTTGGTTAGCAAACACCTCTATCCTAATCTATCCTTCTCTCCATCTGTTCAGTTTATAATAAAAATCCAGAGGAGAACTGCTGAGTCTGTTGTCCACTACTTTGCAAATTCTTGGCTCTTTATAAAATTATTTCTCCTGATTACATACATCACAAATTTATGGACAAATCACTCCAATGCACCAAAAAGCAAGCACTGTCTTGTCTAAAAATATCCACATTATGGTACTCAGTAGTGACATGTAAATGATACTGGCACATATACTTTATTCATGCCTGTATGTTTTATAAATGGGAATACTAGATGAGGCTTTATTCCTTCCCCTGGAAGTTTAACACCCCGTGGAGCTGAAAAGACCAGGGTGGGGAGCTGACTGCTATCATTTCTAAAGTAAAGACAGAGAGAAACATCTGCCTAAAGCTTCAGACCAGCTTACATCTAACACTTCCTGCCCGTAACGGAGTGGGTCACAGTAGGGGTCCACTAGCAGACTCCCTGCATTCACATGAATGAGTGGGAGATGCCATAACAACAATGGCAGATGTACACACATTTGTACATCTACTAGCCATTTAAAAGGGCAGGAAACCATTTAAAATTGCAGTTTTGACACAAAACCTTCTCCAACTCTGTGACAACAGGGACATGGTTAAAAGTTAAAGTACAATGGCCTCTGAGGACCAGAATCAGGAACCAGCAGTCTGCAAGGTCGGCGCAATCTTTAAATGTTTTGTCTGTTTCAGCCCAGGAAACATTGTCATTATAAGCTGATTGAAACAAAATCTGATGCATTCTGACACCTATCTGTGAGAAAATCTTCATCAATTTGAGCTAATCTAGGTTGTCTATATCTGTATATCAGACCAGGCGGGCCAGCTTTTGTTCCCATATACATGAATATTCCTTGGATAGCCATTACAATGCTGCCGGTTCGCCGTTGCTTTTTCTGTAGACTATTGTTGATGGACACTGACCACTGCAGACCAGAACAAGAGCTATAGCTATGCTCAATTTTGAAGAAGAAATAGATTTCGTTGTCCCCAAATGTGGACAATTCAGATGCAACAGCGGCACCCAGATGTGTAGATTCACACAAAACAATCAAAAGGTGTTGAGAATATACATAAAATGCCAAAATTAACCATAATAATACATTATTCAAGAATATACCACTTAAAAATTATTGTGCAGTTATTAGAATTAAAAACATTCACAATCCATGAGATGTGCAACTTAGAATAATTACTTGTGCATGTGTATTAAACATTATAAACTAAAACTGTTTACAATATCAGTGCAGTTCAGAAAAACAGATGTGTAGTAACAGCAGAAATTTTATTTAAAAGTGAGCAAAACAGTGCAATGCTAATGACAGTAAAGATGTAAATACATTGATTTGGTTGTAATGCTAATAGAGTCTAACAGCTGCTGGGAGGAAGGATCTACATTACTGCTCCTTTGTGCATTTGGGATGCAGCAATCTGTCACTGATGGAGCTCTCCAGTTCAGCATGAACTGAGAAACAGTGTCCATCAGTGATGTAATTTTAGCCAGAGTCCTTTTGTCTCCAGCTGCATGCTAGATTTACTGTAGGAAACTTGCACAAACCACACTTATATTTTATAATTACAGAAATTAGATAGATAGATAGATAGATTGCATTTATTGTCATTGAACAAGATTCAACAAAATTCCATTGCAACTCCCGTGCAAAAAGTCAAATATATACAACTAAAATTAACTGAAAGGCCCTCTAACCACACTAAAGAAGATGATTATGGCTGCATCTGAGGTGGCATGAAGCAGCTAATGAAAAGCCTTGATATATAGCCTTTAATGGGATTTTAGCTAAAAGAAAACCATCCTTGTGCTTATCAATTAACTGAATAGATACATTAAGTTACATATTTTAATCATCAGCTGAATGGTAGAACTCGAATGAAGCTTTGCTCTTGAAAATGGCTTTTTAATGAGGTGAGATAGTGACTTGTTTTTGATTTGTTAGCCCTTTATGAGCATCATTTACAGCACTGGAGACAAACTTTCTTGGTAGTAAAATGTTCTTTAAGGAGAAAAAGTTTTAGATGTAAAAATGTAAATGCACCAATGGTATAGCGGTCCTCAAACGCACCATATGAAGTATATCATCCCTGAGCGTACAGAAGGTTGTTAATGATAGACTGTGTGCAGTTCAGATACCGCAGCAGAGCTGCACTGCTTTATCACTGAGTGGCACATGTCCGCCTTCACTGAGAGACTAACCACGAGGGACTGGAGGAGTAAAGAGGTGAGGGCTAAGCTCCACTCCTCTGGCAGACCTTTTGTGCAATTGGACGTAAATTGTAAAGGGAGGTGGGCATGTTTTTCAGTGGTAAAATCACTGCTATTTCTAGTGAGAAGCTCTTTGGTGTGTTGGCGTGGAGTTATGACTAAGCCATTATTTGTTTCCTGAGGAGCAGCAGGATGCCCAATGTGCGAGATGAGAAAATGAGTGTACTTTGAGCTGGTGTCCTGCCTGCTGGCACCAATATATAATTTCATTTTTCCCCCCCTAGTTCCCGTCTGTGTATACACACATTCATATACAGTAGGTAGGAGGGAGTAAATAAACACTAACGCAACTTTGAAAAATCTTATATTTGACCGGCATAAGTAGATGCATGCAGAGCTACGTAGGTATCCAATCAAGTTTTATACAAATAACGTTTTTATGATGCTGTGTACTGTAAGGTATACAATCTTATGCAAAAAAAGAGATTCTAGCGCTTATTGGCTGTCCTTATTTCTTGCCTTTTGTTGTATTATGTGACTAAGAGCCATAAACTGCAGACATGAAAGCGTCTCCATCTCATGCTATCATCAGGCAACACACTATACTCCCTTTGATCTAAAGTGGGAGCTACCAAATGAAACACATGACTGCGAGAACCTATTTTACAGTGTACCTTACTGCACTCTATTGTTCCTAATACCGCTCCCTAAAATTGTGCAGCTATTAATCAAAAAATTTCATTTGACCAGTTGACGCTGCAGTAAAAACAGGTATTGTATGGCGCTGCAGTTGCATGTAGGTGGGAGAGGCAATTTGCAGTGCCATTGTGTTCAAATTGTATTTAAATTATTCATTATGAGCTTTCATGAAAATAAGAAATGCAACACAGTCCCTGCATGAATCTGTAAAGATGTTTAAAAATATATAAATATAAAAAACCCCCATCAATTTGTGAGTCAGGATCTTTACAGGCTATCTATTTCAGTTCCCCACTGATTCCCATGTGCTGTCAGCAGCTGAATTTTCTGTCACTCAGAGGTCAGAGAAAGACACGCAATTGAAAAAGGCAAAGAGGAGCAGCAGTGTGCACAGATCAAGAGAGCTATGAGCAAATGATGCAAAAGCATCTAATGAAGACCAGCACTGTTTCA